GTGACAACCCTATGTTTCAGGTGTATTTTAGTTCCCATGCCTAATTATGGGAAAACACGTACGACAGAATCGAGAGGCCACTTTCACTAGATTATGATAAAACTATCACATAAGTGTTGACTAAACAGAATTGCGGTTTTGTATCTTGGCTCTTTGTGACGTGGCGTTTAAAAGTTAAGTTTTAAAATTTTCATAACTGTTTGGAACTAAATAAATTGTGTAAGGCTTTCACGGCCATCGTTCAGCATATCAATGCTTTTCGGGCCGTTCGGCCTACCTAAGCGAGAAGAATTCTTCGAGAAATTGAGGAGCTAACATCTCCTGATGATGCCGTCCCCTCGTGATCGTGAAACGTCGAGAACCTCTTCTCGCTTACGTCGGCCGAACGGCCGGAAAAACAATGATATGATGTTTGAGACATGTATAAATCTTGAATATGTATAATGCAAAGGATTCTAAAGTGCCAGGCGTTGGGTAGAGGACCTAAAAAAAGGGGCAGGTGCAAGATGAACAAGAGTAGCAAGTGGTAGATAAGCGGGGAAATTTTCAAAGCAGTTCTTTGTCAAAAAACAAGTTGTTTGCAAATAAACCACATGCATAAATATTAAGTAATAATATACATAATTTAAGTTAAGTTTATAGCAAATACATAGTAATAAAATTAATTGTTTTTATTTTAAGTACTAGTTATTTTAAAATAGAATAAAAAATCTGAAAGTTATATTCGGTACGTGTAAGAGCGGGCCCAGTTGAATTAGAATGTAACACCAAAGCCATTATTTATCTTGTAATGTTTCTCTATGACATTTCAATAGATAGATTCCACAGATTATATTTGAAACTAGAAAACATATTATGAAGCATAAGAGAACATATTTTATCCACAGTTAATAACGCATTATTGTATTTTTTACATTATTACATTTCAGACGACATATAGAAATAAATACATACATACTTTAAAAAGTTACATATAAAACGTAATTATTTTTAAACGAACGCAGACAGTGGCATATTATATTGATTTTTTAAATGTACTTAACATCTACCAAGTAATACAAAATTACTTGGTAGATGTTCAGGAATTACAGTAAAGTAATATTTTTGAATTCTGATACATATTTGCATACAATTAAAAACCAACATTTAAATTGCGCGCCTTAACGATAATTTACCGAAATAGCGCTGCAATACGGCTAGTGACGTCATAATCAACAATCTACGTGGATATGTGTATTGTATTGTAGTGATTGAAGTAATAAAATGAGTTTCAAATTTATATATTTTCAGTTTAAACACTAGGGAGAACGGTGGTGTATGGCCCTGTTTATAAGCAAGTGTCGTCATTATAAATCCGACCAATCAGGAGCGTTTTGTGTAACGTGACAAATGGATAAAAAGTTAATTTTTATTTACGGCGTTTTATTTAAATCAATCACTATTTGTAACATATGTGAATGTATTACTAATTCAAAACTAATAGTTAATGACGCTTAATTTTTCACATTGTCAAATAGCCCATTATAAAAACAATATAATAGTAATTATGTAGTGTAGCGAACAGCCTAATTTTTGAACTGAACAATCCAAATGATGAAGATGAAATACCCTAGGTATATAATATCTTGACAAGATGCCTGTTGGCTTTGGATAACGGATACTTTTAACTGTTAAGCGATTACATAAGCTAGCAAGCTAGTACATACATATAATATTCCAGTTGAACTATATATGTATCTTTTCGTATACCTACTGTCATTTTACTGTTGACTAGCTGTGTCACTTCGTCGGCGAGAATCGTTATTTTGGTTTTTGCAGCGTACGCCTCGGAAACCCATAATGATGAATAATATTTTTTTTTTACATCTCTCGCTGTATCTTCGCTTGTATCAGTGATAAGACAACGATTTATAGCCTTCCTCGATAAATGTTCTAACCAACACAAAAATAATTTTCAATTAGAACTCATAGTTCCTGAGATTAGCGCGTTCAAACAAAGAGACAAACAATCTCTTCGGCTTAATATATTAGTATAGATATAGATTAAACCTTAAATTTTAACACTAGTAGAGTTCTACTGAATATTTAAAAAGTTGTTGTTCCCGCCTTAATTACGTCGAAAAGATGAAAATAAAACAAAATTATCGATACAAAAGTGGCACGCGTCCTCAATAAGCGAAACTCTGTTAACTACGGCAAATATATTTTGACAGGAACAATTATTGATTCTAAAGAAGGGTAGTGTAATTCAATTTGCTCTAATAATGCGTGCCGTGTTCGTGTTCTCGGGAATATTTGTGGGGTTTGGGGCGAATTTCCGAGTATTGTTATTAAGCTAGCTTTAATTTACCTGATTCAGGGCACAATTATGGATTGGATTGGATTTTAAATTAAAAATAGTGATCTTCAGTTCTTAGAATATTTGTTTAGTATTACTACAAGTTATATGTACTTATTAAAAATAATTACTTCAAAACGCGAAATATACTATGTATTTAAAAAATGTTTTGCTTTGTTTACATGACAAAATAACACAATGTACCTATACAAAAATTGGGGTAGGTATTTTAAAAAAAAGTAATTTATCTTATACTTACATATTTTGTCTCTATATATGATGTTTTTTTATTTCTAATGAAAACTAAAACTAACATTTTAAAAAAACACTTTAATGGTTTGAAACGCGCTATATATTAGTTAAACTTATTTGATTTTTCTTTATTTTTGAAAAAAAAAATAGCAGTCGGGCCGTAGTTAAAAATAAATTTAATAAAAATATGTTGCGTATTAAACCGTTGAAGTCCTTTATTAAAAAAAGTAACGATGTTACTTTGTGAAGTTATACAGTTTTTAATAAATGTCGTAGTAAATAAGGAGAACTGAAGAATTTGTTCTTTGATTTATGAAGGTAATCCAGGTGTAAGCGAGAGTTAATCTATAAACGACGATAAAGCGACAAGCGGCACCAAGCGACCCCAAATCTGTGTTTTTGATCCCTAATTGGCGGCCTCTGATTGGTCCAAATTAATTTGATGCGCGCGATCTCGTTTCTCATTGGCTGTGCAGAGACCACCCCTTTCGGATTAGGGTGAGATTGAGAGGGTACGAGATTAAATCGTTTTGATACTTTTGTTTATGAAATATAATTTGTAGTGTTGCTTCTTTTATGGTGAAGGCAGAAAAAGCTTAGAGTTCACTTGAAGGTAGATGAAACACCCTAGCCGTTTAACATCTAACCATGATGCGCTGTCGATCTATTTTCTGCGTCTCTCGGACAGAATTTCGATATTCCTACTAACTAATATCTAGATTTCAATACGAAGTCTAACATGTTTTAAGAGAATTATAAATTGATTAGAAAAATGTGGGACTCCGTGGGGACCAAACTCACGACCCGTTATTAGCCACACGTCTAAACACACGTGTCCTTCATACAAGATTTGCTTATCTGTCTATATTATATTTTTGATTACACTCAAATTTATTAAAACGTTGCATTTGTACAAAGTTATTCTGCAACTAAGACCAACGAAGCAGATGGCGCTAGCGTAGCCCTACATCTTTAATCCGCTTGCAAACTTACCTGTTGCAAGCCAGCCAAAGCGTTGTATCGTAGTTAAATAAAGATCGACAATAGTGCAAGCCCGAAAAAGTGTTTTATTTAGTCTGTACTGTTTGATTAAGAACAGAGTTTGACTTGATATTCTACTACTTCCCCAAGTAGTTTTTCTTAGGTTTCTGATTAAGTGTCTGTTTGGAAACACGATTAACACCCTATGGAGTGTGTAGTCAGTTTAGTGTCACTTGCGGTATCTAATTTACTGATGCGTAGATGCCCCTAGAGGAAGCACTTTGTATATTTATATAATTATTGTTAAATTAAAGTATCAAAACTCGTCGCTTGCAGTGTAGTGATTTTGAATGGATGATCGGGTGTAACTTTGCCTACTGAAACCCAATAAAAGTGCATACTTATACATATCAAGGTGTAGGGAGAGGCATTCATTTTTGGCGTTCCTATCGTATGTTCTTGTTGTTTTTTTTTGAAAGTAGGTACAATACGCTATAATAGTTCGTCATAAAATAATTCGTACTCGTCATTAGGTTAAGAATAGTGTTATTTATCGATATAATGCGAAAAAAACGATTGAAAGTCAATAGGTTAGTTTGTTTTTTACCGTTACGTCAAAGCTATATTTAAACTTAGACGTTAGTAGGTAATCAAATACATTTCTCGCATTTTTTATTTATTTTTTTAATTAAATCCAAGATTATATATTGTACTGACGAATAAAGTCTTTTTTGTTTGTTGGTTTGTCAATACAAAAGAATTCACTTGACAATTTTAATATTTTTTTACATACAAAAATCGATTCACGTATCACGGAAGAAATTTGACTGAGTAGCTCAATTTGCAACAGTATAGAATGCTGAGTTGACGCCGGTTCAAGCCCTGCCTGTGTCGTAATTTTTTTTGAATTAGATTTAAATTTAATAAATTCGCTTTCAAGCTTTCCCATATAATGAAGGACCAGTTTATAATGTGAACTATCGTTTAAATTCATTTAACTACTGGTGATGTAGTTTCAAAGATTCCGTTTCAGAATTTAGACGATAAAAATCACGAACATCAAAGTTCCCGCCAACACTATGCCACCCCTAAGGGGCGGCGCCAACCCCGAGATCCCATCCCTACAACCCTATTAGGACAGTTTAGCGCCGTCCGTAGACGAAATCGCCTCGTTTCGACCGACAACGAGCAAAACGACAATTATCCACGTTATAATTATCGATTTAATGTTAAATTCGCATTGTTCCAAGAACATTCGAAATAATCTGTGGATTTTGGCGCGCAATTTTAATTAGTTCTTTAATCTGTGTTAATCCGTATTTTTGATTACTCTGTGGTGTTTTATAATTGACGAACTTTAGTATAGAAATTGACAAATTATAATAAAATCGTAACGAAGATAATGTAAAGTTCTAAAAAGCGCGCCAAAATGAATCAAGAAACGCGTAGTGATTCACCGAGTGACAAACGACAAGATAACTCGAAAACTTCCTTTTTAATTGAGGATATTCTGTATAGAGGCCAGAGACAACCTTTCAAGCAGCCAGAACCGAGGAGGTTTGATATAGAGCCTAAGTACTTTCCATCGCCAACTGAGGTGCGACCGCATGTGCCGAGAGAAGGGTATTTGCAAGTAGCCATGGGCGCTCTGGGTGCCTATCTGCACACCCCCAATACGTACAAGGCCGTTGAAACACCGTATTTTTTGTCGCAAGGTACTGTTTTGTTGTTTATTTTAAATCAACTACAAAACTATTTCCCTTAAAATGCATCATTGAACATAACTAAGTTGTAAAGTTTAAAAAGACACTTCGACGGTTTAAATCGCGATATATACATTCGGGACCCGTGTTCACGGGCTGCTGCAAAGCATTCAAAACGTCGGGCCGTAGGTAAAATAATTTCCATATAAGATTAAAAAATATACATTGAGATTGAAACCGTTAAAATGTTTTATTTAAATACGTACTCGCGTACGGCGTAAACTACCGACATTATTTCAGTTGTATAGTGCCAATACATCCTTTATAATTGTGGTATTAACTTACTTGAGACTTTGTAAATATGTTATATTTGCCTGAATTGAACTATATAACCTTCCTTTCTTAACACATTAGTATAAAGCCTTTAGTAGTGTGTAATATTTATAAAAAAAAGGTATAAAAATTCTTTTGTTTGGAAATTTTACTTCCCTACCCCCAAAAATTTTTGAAAAAATTTTTTTTATAAAAAAAACTCTCCCTCCCTTTTTTCCCCCCCCCCCCCCCCCCCCCCCCCCCTATTTTTTTTTTTTTTATTTTTTCCCCCCATTTTTTTTTTTATTTCCAAAAAGGGGGGGGGGGGGGTTTAAACCAGGGGGGGGGAAATCTTTTTTTTTTTTTTCCCCCCAAAAAAACCCCCCTCTTTTTTTTTGGGTTTTTTGGGGGGGGGGGGGGGGGAGGTGAGGTGAGAGTGTTGCGGAAAAGTAGCACTTACAGCATAGATTGGCTACCTTAAATGCGCCCTTACATAAACCAATAAACAGCCTAAATAATTAAAAACTACCCCAAGTCACTATTTCACGCGGACAAAGTCGCGGGCACAGCTAGTGTTTAAATAAGAAGTTGTTTCACGTTTGCCGTAAGCAGTTCTGTAAACTTCTGCGCAGGTACTACATTATTTATTTGTCGATAAATATGACTTAAATTACGTGAAGACAGCAAAATGAAACTTGGCGATAAAAGAAGTTCGACGAGTTTTTGTTAATTCTTTTCGTTCATTCTACGCCCTTGAATTGACTCTAATTTTACGTTCACTACCAGTAAATATTGGTTTTTCCTGGTGTTACTTTCACAAGTGTACCCAGTTACCTACATGAGTAAATGATTTTTGACTTTGATATTATAGATAACATTTTTTATTACATTTCCTGCCAAATAAACTTGTCTTTGTCTTATTTTGAGATTTTGGACTGAGATACATATGCCGACTTGCATAGTTAGTTTTATCAATCCATAATAATTAAATAGAACACTTTTAATATCAATTTTAATACGGATTTATGTGATAAAAACAAATTAAAAGACTTATTTCGCGTTTTGAACCGTTTTTAAGAGTTCTAAATAACTTCTGTATGTAAAGAAGTGTTTAATAACTACAATATTATCTAACTATTTATTATAAAGGCCAACACTGTAATGCAACAAATAAATACAGAATATACAATTTTCCTACGCAGCTACGAATATTTTTTTGCTAGCTACGGCTGGTCTACGTATTTTCGTAGCACCAACGCTACGAAACAAATCTTAGAAGGTAGCGTTGTATAAATACAAATCCAAAATCACCATTATATAAAATATAAAATCTAAAAATTACTACTCGTTTTGAAGTAGTTCCAATTAATTTAGACTTGTAATAGAACAGCTTTGCTTTTTCCCATGTTACCGTTTAAAGATTGTTTAATTAAGACTATTTTTTTAAGCATATATTAAACTAGTGTGTGTGCCCGTGTAGTTATTTATTTGTGTGAATGTATAAATGAAAATGTGTGGAGGGGCAAAAAGTTTATAAATGGATATGAAATATCTGATTTAGTGTATATATTATTAATTCTGTTTCCTCTTAGGTTGCCTTTTAAGCCATTCTGAAATTTTTTTAACTTTACTTCAATTGATAGTTTGTGTTTCATATTTACCAATTATAAAAAAAAGTGTTAATATTTATAGAAAATAAACAAATAATTGCTTTTATACATTTCAAATATTATCATTTACTCTATTTAAACGTAGTTATAAATAGACTCCCACAATTTCACATGATTTGATATTAATTAAATATTAACTATTAAGTTATCGGTTATATATTTTTTTTAATTACACTACGCGGGCAGGACTTGAACTGGCATCCACAGTGTTCCATGCTCAAACCAATTGAGTTACCGTTATTGGGTGTTAATTGAATATTGTTAATATTCCTAGGTGTTCCATACCACGCTCTCTTTACACCGTCGGAGCTGTCCCTCTCAGCTCTGAAGCACTGCAGGCGACGGAAAGCAAGGACAGTCTTCTCTGATCCACAATTAACAGGTATATCTATTTAAAAACAATTTTATATATTTCTTGCAAATGTGTTTGTGCCAGAGAGAGTATTCTAGTCTAAAATACGAAATACAAAACAGTTTTGGATTCGACATATCTATATGTTCAATTTTGGGAACGTTTGTGTCTATAAATACTACAGTACAACAATAATTCGAGTGCAAAACTACTGACTAAACTCATGAATTTAAATGAAACACTTCTAACGGTTTAAAACGCTAAATCTATTAGTTAAACTCAATTACAAATGTTTTAAGAGACAGAAGTGAAAGCGACGGCGGCTTTCGAAAAGCATGCGAAACATCGGGCCGTAGTTACAATAGATTGAAAATACGTTTAACGAATACATTACGCCTTTTAAACCGTTAAAAGTGTTTTTAATAAATTTGTACTGTTCGCGTTAACTACAAATAGCACTGAACTCGTGAACTCTCAAAAATGAACTATTTATACCTCATAAAATATCAAATGAAAATAGCATTTTTTTTTGTATTTTTTTTTATTATCTTTTAAACCTAGGCCTTGAAAAGCGTTTCGAGTCGCAGCGATATCTATCAACCCCAGAAAGAGTGGAGTTAGCGGGAGCTTTAAACCTCTCCGAAACCCAGGTGAAGACCTGGTTCCAGAACAGACGTATGAAGCACAAGAAACAGATGCGGAAAATGCAGCAAAAAGGTACGTAAATTATGGCTTTAGAATTGTAAATACCTCAACAGAGTAAATTACAATAATTAAGGTTAAAAAAAATATATTTACTATGTATTACGAGTTAACATATTTTTCTTTAATGTAATAATTTTCTTTCTTTTCTTTCGAAACAATATATATCAAAACTACCGGACAACTATGGCCGCGCTCGGAGACACGATTTGTTTGACGTCCCAAAAGGTCGCACCTCCGCCCGCGAGTTTTCGCCGATACCGCGAATTTTGACCTCACTCGACCCAATTAAGACCCAAATGTGACCTCTTCGCAGATGATTGGTCATCAATACTAAAAGAATTGTCTGCCTTTGAAATTATCTCCTAATGTAATTTGTAATAACCTATTTTTAATTGTTATTGTTTAAATATGTATGTCTCCAATTAATGTAACTGGCTATTGCCGTTTTAAATGCTGTAAATAAATAAATAAACAATTAAACGCGGAATCCATGGAATGACTGTTTGTCGAGGATTTCTTCAACTTACAGGTTCACACTAATAACTAAACCACCGACATAACAGAACATGTATAAAATACTATCGAGTCATAAAAAAAAACTAATTGTGTCATCCCGTGATGGCTTATAGTGTTTTTAATAATGAAATAAAACACTTTTAACGGTTTAAAACGTGAAATATATTAAATAACGTATTGACTCTCTGTTTTAACTTTTCGTAACGTTTCAGATCTGTTGCAACAGCATTGCAAAGTGTTTTATTTAAATTTTGCACTTGCTTTAAATATGTGTATATGTCCACAAAATATAAACTTACTAATTAAATTAGTTTATGTTTGTTCTTCGTCTTTGTCTCTGATATTCATGATTAACTAACTACACATTTCTTGTTCTATTTCCTCTATACTTTTAAAAGACGTGGTTAAGTTCATAACATTTATATTAAATAAACTAATGATAACTAAGCATAATCCGTTGCTAACCTCTAAAAACAGTACCTGAAGGTATCTAGTGGTAATTGTTCATAATAGTTAGAAACTTCAGTTTCTTGCGAGTTGGAAACTTTGCAGGAATTCGATATTGTTTACACGCGCCATGTTATATGCTGCATAGTTGATACGGTATTAGGTGTTCATGTATGCTAAAATGTATAAAGCTGAAGAATTTGTTTTAGTTTGAACGCGCGAATATTAAGAATTTCGAATTTGGAAAAATCGATTCGTTTTGATTATAGCATTTATCGAGATATGATGCGACTAGTAGAAGCAAAGTGACAACGGGAAATGTTGACAAATGCGGAATATTGTTAATCTTTGTAAGTTTTCGATGCGTACCATAATGCTAAAAAATGATTCGTCTACATTGGACTGCAGAGTTGTAAAGTCAAAGTATTGATAAACCAGGTTTTAAATGGTGAGCACGAACCATCGTCAGTTTAGTGCAAAATCTGTTTCTATAAAAGATCGACAGTCGATATCTTGTTTTATTTAAAAGGTCTACAAAACTAAGATTTCTATATTTAATTAAGCTTAATATGCAGACACGACATTATGCCTTCATTAGATATAATAGGGGCAACAAATAACATAACATGAAATAAAAACTGTCCTGTCTGTCCTCTGTGTACGTTATTAGTTAAATGTGTCGCGTTTAAAACCCTTTTATTTATATGTGTACTACTCGCGTAAACGACCTCTGTTATACATTATTAGTTCCATTCTGACTGTTATATTTTCTAACGAATATATAGAGAGCTTTTATCAATATTAGTAATAATATTATAATAATAGTCTAAAAATTCATAGACGAAGTAATGAAACAATTTATTCTAATAACTTTAATCATATTATCCAATCTTAAGTACAATATTATTGCACAAAGGACTTTGGTCCAAATACAACCATAAATCTAATGCAATAAGGTCTAAAATAGCTCGCCCTCCTTGTTAAATACAAGGCATCTAATTGACAGAAGCCAACCTCAAAGACGGGAAAATTAAATTTGGAATCGCCGCTTTCGCGCCACAACTCAAGACGTTCCATAATTAAATTACGGAGACAAGATGGCGGATATCTTAGTTGTCATGGCAACGGAGCGTCTTGGAATATCTGCTGGGGAATTGTATGCCTTAATGTTATGTGTTAAAGGTCATTTTGGCAACGATTTAACAGTTGAGGGTGGGTCTATCGATGTTTCAGTTGGAAAACTTATCTAATTGCGTTGAATTATGAGTTATAATGGCTTAACGTTTGTAAATAGATATTTTCAGGATCCGTCCTTTTTAACGACTGAAAATATATTCAGGATTTTTCATTTTTCTTTCTTACAGGTAATTCAGCGGTTGACTTTACAACCAAACATAGTGCATCCATGAAGTGCTCACAAGTAAGTAAATATATGATCTGTTCCCACCCTCAAAATATAATATTAAGCTTTCCAAAAGAAGTTTAACATAAATTGTGTAAGGCTTTCACGGCCATCGTTCAGCATATCATTGTCTTTTGGCCTGTTTCATAATTCTTCGAGCAATCGAGGGTTTAACATCTCCTGATGATGCCGTCCGCACGCGATGGCGAAACGTCGAGAACCTCTCTCTCGCTCACGTCGGCCGAACAGACCGAAAGACTTATGCTGAAGTTTAAAAAACATTATACCTAACTTGACTAGAAACGTATTCAAATAAAACACTTGTGAAACCTTTAACTGTTATTAATTAATGTTAAATTGTTTTATTTAAATGTGTACAACTCGCGAAAACTACAGACTGTAGAAATCTGTTGTATTCAACATATATGTTATGCGTTAGTAAACGAACTTACGAGCTTACATAAGCCCTACAATTACCTACAAACAGACCAAATTTACTATTTGCTTACAGGAGGACTCACGAATATCGACAACACACACGTCAGATTCAGAATCGGATCACAGCGACAGCGACATCGACATCGTTGGAGAATCGACTTATGTACACCACTATTCCAATAGTACGTAAACTTGTGTTGTGATAGAATAGCACAGACAACTGTCAATTCCAACCATTGATAATAACTGTCATTAGAGTCTAGTCATTTGTTTTAATTTGAATAACATTGCTTATAATTAATACAGTTGTAACCACAGATTCCGTTTGATTGTAAGTATACGACAATCGTTCAAGAGTTCAATCAAGTTATTATTTGTAAACTAAATAAAATTTATGGTTTATAAAAATTTGATAAAAATCTGTACTAATATTATAAAGTTGAAATTTGTTTGTTTGAACGCGCTAATCTCAGGAGTGACTGGTTCGATTTGAACTACCTATTCTTTTTGTGTTGGATAGGCCATTAGACGTTGTATCGACAAAGGCTTTTGTGAAAAAACGGGGAAAATTATTATTTTGAGGGTTTCCGTTGCGTGTAGTGCGAAGACGGTTACCCAGACCCAAGATACCCAAGAAATATATATGATGGAATTTCTATTTCACTGAATAATAAAAAAAAGTCTGCAACAGTCGGTATACGTCTAACTTGGAGATTAACCCACAGGAATTACTATGATAATCAAATTTGGTCGACTTACTTCATATAGCAGGAAGTTCGTCGGGTCAGGTAGTTTCATATAAAGCTAAAAGGTTATAATTCTTGTCTTTTATGTTACCATGCGGTAGACCCATTTACCCGTTTTAATCGACTTTACTTGTGCCCTGCCCGATCGAAAGTATTTATATTATGTGTCCCGGTAATTCAACGATAAATACAGAAAAGTAGTACTCATTGAACTATGGTGTTACAAATAATAGCTCTTGTCATTGTAAAGAAAGTGCAATAATTATAATAATGGATAATAAGTAGAAGACAATGTAAGTGTAAGAATCTAGACAGTACTATCTAGGTGTATAAGAGATAATAGTTTTGTCTTTTCCTTTTCATTTATCTCGGCGTGTTATAATATGAGGCAGCCGGAGGCAAGAGGAGCCTAAGTGCAATTTTATAACTTGACTTATTTTTATTTTTATAGTCTAAAAATGTTTATCCTTTATAACTATCTGCAGAAATATAGTTATTTTAGTTCTGTGTCCATCAATTGTATATTATATTTATAACAGTAAAATACAAAGAAACCTTTACATTTGTTTGTAACCTTTAAGTGATCTTCAAAGTGAATTAATTATAAGGACATTTCCGATGTATTAGTTCATTTGAAATTCATGTCATTATCTTAAATACATATGTAAATATTAGCGTAGAATAAATGCTCAATAAATAAAAATATAATAGTGTACCTGTTTTTATTTTTCGAACACCATTATATAGTTTCTGCCGGTCCGCATCCACTGCTGGACATAGCCCCCCTCCCCAAAGACTTCCAGTTTGCTAGTTGAATCCAGCAACCTTTAACAAACAAAAGAAAACTTAATTCCAAGTCATTGTTTTTCGGGGTGTTTGGGCGGGGGGGGGGGGGGGGGGGTCCGGCGGGGGGGCCCCCCCGGGGGGGGGGGCCGGGCCCCCCCCAAAAAAAAAAAAATTTTTTCCTTTTTTTTTTTTTTTTTTTTTTTTAAAAAAAAAAAAAAAAAAGAGGAAAAAAAAGGGGGGGAAAAATCCCCCCCCCAACACACCCCCCCAAAAACCCAAGAGGGGGGGGGGGGGGGGGGGGGCCATGAGGCAATTCAAGAACAAATAAATGAAATAAATGATAATTATTCTATCTACCGCTCATTGGTCTAATGGTAGCAAGGAAGACCTAATAATCTCGGGTCGTGACTTCGATCCCCACCAGGTCCAACTTGTATTTAATCAATGTATAATTTTTCTGAAACATGTTGGACTTCGTTTGGAAATCTGGATGTTAAAGGGTGGGAGGACTATTGAAATGCGCCTGGGGGACAAACCACCACCATAGAAATAAAAGATTCTGTTTTGAATATACAAAGCCAAAATTGGTGAACATCGTATTTATTAGGTTAGCTATATATCTAGCTATTATACCTACGTCATTCCAAGTGATGCATGTCGGTCCTCCTGTATCGTTAATAATCGATCGATCTTAATATTTTTAGCTTGTCATGCAATAAATGTCGTTTGGAATTGCAGAATTTTAATATACATTACTTCGCTTTCATTTATAGTACGCAATATGTTTAGTGGTTCATTATAACCAGGTTATCAAGAAAATCGCTGAAAAATACCCTCTTACCAACCATTGCAGTAACAAACATTGTTTTGAGTGTACCTAATGCATATAAGAAGATCAATGTTTCATATTATATCCATTTAAATAAAACACTTTAACAGTTTAAAACGCGATATACATAGTAGTTAAACTTATTTGAAAAATATTTTTATTACGGCCCGACGTTTTTGGATGTTTTGCAGCAGCCGTGTTCACGGGGAGCCCTCCGAAGCGTCGGGCCGTAGTTAAAATAATTTTCAAATTAGTTATCTACTATGTATATCGCGTTTTAAACGGTTAAATTGTTTTATTTGCACTACGCGTGTAAACCACGCGGACAGTACTAAATTATATCGATTTTACTTGTAATTCTCACGTGACAATTTCACGTTTTAAGCAACTATTAAATTGAGAGACCAAGTCTTAACAAAGGTATACTATATTAAATCAAGCAACAAATTGGTCGCTTCACAAAATTTAAGGCCACGCGACTCGTAATAAGTGAACAAACGGTTATTCGTTTAAAGAAACCCCCTTTATTATATCAATAAAGTTTGAAGAACACCCCTTACCCTTGGCGAGCAATTTCACCTATTGTTGTTTATCTCGATGCCTTCTTTTATTACCATAACAAATACGTTTAGTTTATTTATAAGTTAACTTATTTACAGTCAATTTTAACTACGTTCCAACGTTTCGGATGCTTTGCAGACGTGGCCACTGGGGGACTGAATATGGAGGGTGTCACTAATGTCTAAGTAAAAACTGGTACTTCGAACATCTCTTTTTGGTGGCAATTGATGGCAGGTGAAATACGCCAATTGGAAATTCGCAGACTGAAACCGAAATGCGATTAAACTTCGCGGCTTTTTCATCTGTGGACGGCGCGGTAGTAATATGATGATGTAGACCATTGCAACAGACATACAAATGTGTCTGCTCCACGGCCTATAAGTTCAACAGGACTAGTAAATTTATTGAATAACCTTTTTAAGTAAGGAATTAACTGCTATTGATCTCACTTTACTCTTCAAAGCTTTATTAAAAGCATTTAATCCCTGTAATAATGAATGTGACATACGGTATAATGGAGATAGGACGGCGCTACATCAGTCACCTGTGCCAAAGGACATCAACGCAATGAAGAGGTTTATGCACACTTTTCTATATAAAAAACTCTTAATATATAATTTTTATTGACGTTTTAAAAAATACTTTGTTGACAAATGACATTTTTAGGTTTTTAACACGTGAAATTATCGTGTGCCTATTATCAGGTTTCCGTGTGTTGGAGTTACTCGTATATAATATCTCGTCACTATTCATTATGTACAGGTAAAGATGCCATGCAGCAGCCATGGTCACGTCGCAACGTACAACCTAATATATATATGGCGTTTTAAATCATTATAGTTTTTATTTCAATATGTACTACTCGCGTAAACTACAAACAAAATTTAAAGGATCAGATGACTGCTCTAAACGTTTTTCGGGGTTCGAACCGAGAACCCCTTGCTTGGTAACGTTTCATTTGCTACTGAGGCTGGAGTTAAACATGATAAATGTAAAATGTGAATAATAAGAAGTAACTAGATACACAGCTTTATATTAGCAAACTGACATGTCTACGAAAATATATTTCGTCTCGTCTTAGGCCGTTAAATTTTTGGCCACTGGAGTTCAGATTTGCACTGTATAGCATAACACTACCCCCTAATCAAATAACGCCATCTATTCGCAAAATTAAAAACTTCCTCTGTTCAATCGAGCCCTTTTCGCGCCAATACAACATCATACTTCATAACCATCGCGATATGACGCATATCGCATTTGGTATTCGATTTTAAGCCCTATTCCATGACAATACAGTCTACATATATTTTTGATACACATTTTTCTAGCTATTGTTAAACGAACATACCGACTTTTGTTTAGGGTATAAAAATAATTCACTCGATTCTAGATTCTATTTATATTAGGAATAAGGGCGGTGTATTGGTTTACATAAGCAATACTTCGTTGTGGATCCATAATTCGAAGTTATTAGAAGTCGGAATGCACTGCTTTGATCCAGTTAGGACCGGATTGATTCGCTTTGAGGGACTATAATTTTATATTGATACCGGTGACAAGACTATAAATGGATTATTAAACTTAAGTTGGGACAGTCCCATGGCTCTATTGTTAGATGCGTTGCGCTAAGCGACGGAGTTCTAGGGTTCGAATTTTGGAAAATAAATAGTTATATGATTGTAAGTGAACGGTTCAGAGAAGAAGATTAAGAAATATGTTGACCCATGCCCCAAGAACAATAAAAAGGGATTTTAAATATTTGGGACAGTATGATTATTTAAGGTGATTTTGTGAGTTCATTTCGTAGACGTGCTTCGACAAAATAAATATATTACTTTGTGAAATTATTATAAAGTTAAATTTTATAAAATTGTAATATTAATAAAAGTTGAAAATTATAATAAAATATTCTGAAAGAAATAAAAAACACATTTCTTCTTAAAGAATTTATGCTAGGGTTTGCACTTAGAAAAAGTTTGTATATGAAGCAATCAACCTCTTGATCCTATTCGTATTTATCAATTTTTATTGTCTTTTGTCGACAGTCAAAGCTAAAATGAAATTCAAGGTCAAACTCAAAGTCAAAGTTTGGGTTTCATTTTTTAATCAAAAGCATATCATGCAATTTGATTAAACTGACAATTATTACATTTGATCTTTCCGCTATTATGTCGCGACTAAAATTGACACATAATGGGGACCATTTACCAACAAATGTCACATCCCTTGACGGCGTTTGACCTTTGTTGTAAATCTTTTATAATTGAGCCATTATTATTGACAACGACCCGACTGTGCAGGAATTAGAGAGGAAGAAAGATCGATGTTGTTTACATGCAAGTAGTGAACGCCCAACGCTATTTATCGTTTCCCCAGAATTCGAATCCAGGACTTAATTAATGTAATGTTAGGCGACAATATTCTATTAAGGTATGGGACCGGTAACTGTAGATATTTATGTTGGAAATCGTAGAAAGTGCTGAATGTATGAGGCAGACATTTTTTTGAATCTAACTAACGTCTTTCTGTCTGGAAAGACTTAAAAACACTTGCTAAGAAGGACATACTCCAAAACACCGAAAAAGTTCGTTAAATTGTAAACAAAAAGATCATCATGGCAGTGTAGAGTTAAATCAATGGTTTGGATTTGATTGATTTAAATCTCGAATCAATCAAATCCATTGATTTCCGATTCCAATTCCGATATTTCTCAATCATTTTCTTATACTTATTTCGACAGATATACAATTTGACGATCTCATTGGTGGAATGGTAGCAATGGACGGCTAATAACTAAACTGATAAATTTAAGCTTTTTCTGAAACATGTTGGACTTCGTCTAGAAACCTGGATATTAAATAGCGGGAATAACAAAATTGCGTCCAGGTCACGAACCACCGTCCACAGTAATTATCGTAATTAGTAAATAGACAGTAGAAAAATGTTTCACTAATTGGGGTGATAAGCCGCGAACGTAGTCGTCAGCGGACAGATTTCCCCGGTTTCCCCGGCTTTGTAACCTGATAGTTAGTAGGGCCGCCACAAAATGAATTAAACAAAAATAAAAAGCTAAACATTTTACTCGTTAGATAGTCGGCTAGACGATTCGAAACTACAGAAGGCTTGTGACACACCTAACAGTTACATGTTTAACACATGTTAAGGTTGAAAAAAATCGACGAAGACCTGTAGGACTCAGTAGCTCAATTGGTTAGAGAAACAGCGCGGAAGTCTGTGGTTGCCCGTTTAAGTCCGACCGGTGCGTAATATTGTATCAATCTAAAACATGACTAAAGTATTAAAGTTTTCGAAGTTCTATAAGCAATAAAGATAAAATACTTAATGCCGACTGATTAAAAAGAAATTAAAGAAATTTTAGCTTGACACAGTAGCTCAAGGAATGCTGTGGATGCCGGTCGATAGCATCATGTTGAGTTTTCTTTTTGTTTCTACTTTTAAGTTGATCTAATAGTTTATTATCACTTTAAACGGTTTACTTAGGTAAGTAGGTACTTAAAATATAATCACGTTTCTCCAAGGATGCTCGAGAGATACTTCTGTGTCTGTTTCTCTATTTTTTTTATCTTTCTTAAGTTAGTTGATAAGTGAGCAAAAAAATAAAGAAATAGTTGCATACTGTCTATAGTTTACGCGAGTAGTACGTAAAACGCGATATATGTCTCCCCGTGACCACGGCTGCTGCAAAGCATCCGAAACGTCGGGTCGAAGTTAAAAATCATTTTCAAATAAGTTTAACTAATATATCGCGTTTTAAACCGTTAAATGTTTTATTCAAAAGAACTATTTGCGCCAGTTTTTTTTTGCTTTTTTACGATGCTATAGGCTCGTTCTGAAATATCGCAGCGAGCCAACCCTACGTCCTTGTTAGTATCTGTCACCAATCACAACCCTTACTAAGAAGTAACATACTTTTAAACATCTTCTAACCCTACTCTCCCCATATCACAAAATCAAGTCTTTATTGTTATAAAGATAGAGTTTAAAATCGCATATACGTCCACACTTAAGATAAACACACACAGAAGTTGTACAAAAGTGAGTTTTATTCACATATGCGTAAAGTTAAGATTAGATATCTTAGGTCAAAATTATTTAAGGCCAAGTCCTCCAGTGGAGAAACAATTAAGTTCCAGCTTCTTTTGACGTCGTTTGATGGAGATTTTTGTAGTGCTCTCAAAATGTCGTGCTTTTAAAAATTATTCTACGCCTAAATGTATACGTAATATTCTATAAACATTGGAAGAAACTTTAATCAAGACAATAGACGTATACTTATAAGACCCATTAATCCATTTAGGGTTCGACTGCCTCTGACGGGAGTCGAACTAGCTGTACACGGGCTGTTATATATGATTTAATAGGATATTTAAAATTTATTTCAAGAGAGCTCCAATGGAACAAAAAAAAAATTCTTACATGGCTGGCAATAAATATTCCGATATAGAGTATATAGTATACATACAGACAGAGAGTTCATAAGTCCCTTTTAAAACTATACGTCATAAGAAAGCTGAAGAGCATGTTTGTTTATTTGTTGAAAGCGCTAATCTCAGGCGCTACTGGTTGAAATGGAAAATCCTTTATATTATGTTATATGTGGCTATAGACAATAAAGCATCGCGCCGTGACTAGGAGCGCATAAACAGCGGGAAAGTGGGAAAAAGGGAAAATGATATCCATCCTTTTGGGTTTCTGTTGCGTGCGTTGCAAAAACGGTTCAAAATACCCAAAAATATATATATTTATAAAAGAATAATTTCTCTTCTTATGATCTAAAATAAGGTCCGGGACAGTTTATGTCTATCTTTTAAGATTAAAACGACGGGACACGGACGACGTCGTGCGTAACGGCTTAAATTTATTGAGTTGTTCAACTCAATAAATTTAAGCCGCCTCGCAAAAACCAATTCAATGCCCATAATAACTATTCCACGCGGACGAAGTCACTGACACAGCTAGTGCTAATATATTTTTATTAGCACAAGAAACAATTATTTTTAAATTGACATTAAATACTCTTCGCTACGAGCGAATGGCGGGCATTAGAACATTTCCCGCGTTTTGTCGTCGGCGCGCGCTTATGTCAATTACCAGGTGATTATCCTACTCGTCGGTAGATGGCGCGGATCGGATTACTGTCCTTCGGGACTTGTTAGGGTTTCCGCTTAAATAACGAGTCGTACACGGAAATTGCGACCCTATTTCAGTGTAATAGAGTTAATATTTGAGAAGTTGATTCGTCATGGTTAGATCGATATCTAATGACTTGTGGAAGTTTAAATAAAGCGCTTTAACGGTTTTAAACGCGAAATATATTGGTTAAACTTATTTTTACCACGGCCCGACGTCTCCGATGCTTAGCAACAGCCGTGACTACGTACTTAAAATAATTTTCAATTAAGTAATGTTATTATCCACTGTATACTCGCGTAATCTACAGACAGTATATGACTTGTCGAAGTTTATTTATTACAATCGGAGAAAGACATACCTATTGTTGGTAACATTAAGTGAAAATGGAATAATATTTTTGTAAACAACTACTTATTGTTATACGTGATCGTATGATATAAAACATTTATTAGTAATAAGAATTGGAAATATCGCCAAAGATAAAAAATTACGATGCATTCATTACTAGTAAATTCAATCACTTTCAAAGAACGTAAATGAGTGCGTTTTCAATTCTAGGTAAGTCGCGAGATAATACTGTAACTAACAGATAAAAACTATGTTGAGCGCGACTAACAGCGAAATTGTTCAACTGTATGTTTTATATTTATGTCCAAAATACGACCTGGGTTTCCTTATTTCTGTTTTAGAAACCTAAGATTTTGAGGGCGTTATCACCTCTATCGTACTAATGCAGTTTGGTCTTCTGAAGTTAACTCGGGCTGATGATATTAGCGTGGTTAATGTTGCATTTTGTTATTTACAATAAGTTGTAACTACTGATTTGGCAGAAAGAATTACGAAAAACATAAAGGTATTAAAAAACTGTTTACGATATTAACAACGGATGACTTAGACTACGATAATGCAAAAATAAGTATTATAAATTATATTATAAATAGTTAAAAGTAGTGAAAATAGTAAAGTTCGCTAGCTAATAAATCAATGGGTCGCCGATTCAGTTCCCATTGGACCCAGAATGATTCTAAAATCTACGTATATACTGAAACGTGAAATTTTATCGCGAAACTATGGACGTGAAAATGAGGTAGGAACATCGAATGTCCGTCCGGGTGACAAACCGCCGCAGATAGATAAGCCGACGTGTCACATCTGTGGTTTTAATATTTGGATTAACGAAAGTCCAAAGCCAAAATAGGTCTATAGCACATGTGTTTTCGACATTGAATGGCTCGAGTATTTAACCTTTCATCGTGTGTCAGAAAGATAGAGTACAAGGACGGTACATTGTTCGCTGTAAGTAATACCGCGCCCTAATGATAAGATAGCCCACAAAACATTGATAAGATATAGAACGGATTGGCAGCCATTTTATGTAGAAAACTATTGTAAGGTAGAAAAGTTTACGTTTTTGTGATGTGATCGTGTGTTGTTACAATTGAAAAGTATTAAGGATTCATACAAACTGTATCTTGGAGCGAAGAAGTCATTGATGTAAGAGGGTAAGACATAAACATATATTTAATCCAAAAGAAAAAAGGCAGAAAGTTAGTTAACATCAAATTTAAAAAAATACCAAATTCACACAAGGCATTTACCACTTATGTAAGCTCAAAAGCTAAGTAATAAATGCCTTGTGTGAATTTCCCCCTAGTGGGGTATCCGGCGAACACATTTTTGTGTCTGTTTCACTGACCCGTCCTTTAACAGGCAAGTACTTAGTAGATCAGACTTCTGTGCCCTGCCCGACCGAAAAAATGTTTTGTTTCCCTGGGATTCGAACCTAGGACCTCTCGCGCTTAACGCAATACGTTTAACCATTTGGCTACAGAGGCGGTCTTCCTCAGTAGTAAATGCCTTATGTATTGCTTATTTTTTTTGTTCCATTATAGTTCTTACTTAGATATTATGAACTGAAGTGTAATAATTATATGTTTAAAATGCGCTAACGTCTAAACGAAATAACGCGTTTTAAATCGTTAAAGTGCTTTATTTAATTTTCATTCATTTTTAGTACTGTATATCCGGATATACTATACTATACTCATGGGAATGATAAACATTTTATCTTTCTAGGAAACGATGAGTGTCCGTCGTATTTTTGTTATTGCTGTCATCGGCTTGATTGGAGTTTACGCTGATGATGTAAAAGGTATTATATGTAAAGGCTGTATCATTTGTTTTTTTTTTGTATATACGATATACCACAAATTCTCAAAGCGACTTAGGTGGAGCATGAGACTGAGGCAATATATGCGTTTCACTCTTCTTGATTTACAAACAACTGGGTGAACGCCCTGTTATGACCCTACGCAGTCGAAATATTTTTTTTCTGAAGTTTCGTTTTACTTAAACACAAATTAAACTAAATATAATGCAGCGATTTGCATTTAACGTCTGCACCATACATCCATGTCATGGTTTTGTTTGAAAAGTAATTTGCACGAAATTTAATTAACTACTTTAGTCTCCAGTTGAATTTAAATAAAACGCTTTAAACCGCTTCTATCAAGCACCCGATGTCTATAAAGACATCAACAGATTTTAGTTAAGAATAAACTATGTTTCGCGTTTTAAACTGTTATAAGTGTACTAATATGACGAAATATTTTTCCACAGATGCAAATAAAACAATTGCGAAAAATCCGGAATGGAAGGAGACGGGAATATGTAGGAAGTGTGTTTGTAAGGACGAAAAAATTGATTGCTTCGACCAAAGTATTTCCAAGTTCTTTACTAAGCAAGAGTGGACTGGTAAGACCTAAGTTTAGTACCTATTAGCTATACCTATAGTACTGTAATTTATAATTAAGTAGTAACCACTGAATTATAAATTGTTAAAGGCTTTAACGACTAGATTGATTTTGATTTTAGAGATAAGAACAACGAACCCGTGTGCCGTCATTACTTTATTTTTAGACTATTAACTAACGACTACATACAATTATAAATTTCAGATGTATCCGAATTCAAGCCAAAGACGATAGACCTAAGTGAAAATTCCTTCACAAACGTAACGGCGATAGCCCAGCTCCCTGTACAAGTCTTAAACTTATCGCGTTGTTCAATTGAATTTATCGAAAACGCGAGTTTTAAGGAGTTACAATCGATGAGCGTTCTCGACTTGAGCCACAATAAGCTAACTTCTGCTAAGCTTAGTCCTCATGCGTTTGAGGTAATTTTGAATTTTTATTAAACTACCTTCCTATTTACGTCAATAATTGCAATAGTTATTAATTCATTACTTGATAATGTATCTCGCTTAAGTCACTGTTATATAAAATATGAAATGGTCGTGTGAGCGCTGTCTGTCAGACGTAGGGTCTTGCTGAAAATCAGTGTTGTAGCCTAAAAGCCTGTGCTGCAACTTATGCTGACGCAAGCCGCTTTTGGCGTCACTTTTCTTCAAATTAAATTAAATCTTTTTGTATTAATTATCTTATTGTAATTGCATTAACTTCTTTCTACCATTGTACTAAATGAATGCCAAATAAAGATAGGTCTTAGTTACATCGTGCTAACTAAACACTGCTTTATAAATACTTATAACATTTTTGTCTTAATTAAATTAAATACTAGTGTAATATATTGTTTTATTACTTAAGAATACCTCTGCTATATTTAAAATACGGCACTAGTACGTACATAAAGCCTAATTGTATCTTGAAACAATGCAACTAACATAAACCCAAAAAGCTAAAGTGAATATTTTTACAGGGCCGTTATTCTCCAGAAGAATATGAGCCTTTAGCGTCCATGAGGAAGCTCAGCCTGGCGTACAACGACCTTCACAGCTTGAACCAGGATCTGTTCGAGCATTTGCCAGAGCTGACCGAATTGGATCTCAGTGGGAACCCATTAACTACGATTGACCACGTCACCGTTATTGCTATTTCCAGCTTGCCAATGCTTAAGGTAAGAAGACCTGCTTCACTATAAACTTTCGTACCGCATTTGTCATATTTTTACAAGTAATTTTGACATCTTTTGCATGTATATAAGTTCCAAAATTAAAATAAATTTATACGGATAATATATAGCTATAATATATATGGATAATATATAACTTTGACTTACGAGTCCGTCATATACATTGATTTAACGTATTATTATTTAATAATTCCAAAGTATTAAGGTAAATATGCAAAAAAAAACTTTTAAAGAAAATGTTTGATAACTAAATTTAACAACAATCCTTTGATGCGGGAAGTGTCACGTCATCTAGTAGCGGATAGGAAAAACTATTTTAAAAACCCTTTTTGTATTATCGATTACTTGATTATGAATGATTGTTATGAAAACACGAGGACTTTAAAAACTATGTTTAACTTAATTTATACAGCATACTTCACTGGTTTTTACCAAAACGGACAGACTAAGGCGCCAACTTGTGTCTAGTGCTATATATTTCGTAAATTATAATAGTACAAATTTAAGTAAATTACAAATAAGTGACAAATAGTCACAAGGACTAAAACGGTAAGACTGTCGATATAATAATAATAATAATTTATTTATTTATTTAGCACTCACAACTTTACAGTGTTTCGAAGAACTTATATACATATAAGCATATTGCTAACTACCAGCAATAACCAAGGTACATATCTCCAGTTGTTTTCCTGATTTAACTGCACTATTTGTTGCGTGTCTGTCTGTATCGTAACAGGGATTAAAGAGCGCCTATATCAGAGGGAATATAACTATAATAAGAAACAAAGTACCACCACGTAGTATGCTCACTGAATTTACTATTGTGTATTACTCTAAATAATGCACTGGACTCGCGGAAATTTAAATGATAATATATAGTCTATACTGTTATTTGGGAAACGCATAATCAACTCGCACGAGCGGCACTCAAAACTTCGTTCGGCGTCTTAACGATAATACAAAACTACCCTCAAATTTTAGTTATGTTTTCGAAGAATGACGCATATTAGTTAACTTATTCGTAATTTATTTTAACTGTGGCCCGGCGTTCCGATGCTTTGCATTAGCCATTGTCATGGGGGGACTGAAGATGATGATAGACGGTGTACCTAATATCTAAATCAAATTTAGTCTTCTAGTGTTCACCATTGTCGGGCCGTAGATAGAACAATAATTAAAATGTGTTTAATTTATTAAAAGTGCTTATTTAAACGTAATTACTTAATATGACGAGTATATTCGTTACTTGAACATATACTTCTGTCGGGCCTTTTTTATTTTGAGAAACTTTTAGGTCCTCAGAATGCGATCCTGTCAACTCCCGGATATCCCGGACAAGTTTTTGCACACGCCACGTTATTTGGAGCGCTTGGATTTAAGTGATAACAAACTTACTTCGGTTCCCGTTGAACTGGAGGAGACCAAGAACTTGCTGTATCTGAACCTCAACCAGAATCCCATCATCGAACTCGATGTCAACAATGAGGATCGACCGTGAGTAGTCAAAGTTATAGTGTTTTTTCTAACTTGGCAGTTTTGGTAAACAATCACACAAATTTACATGGAATCGTGAATGTTATAAAAAACTATTTATTGTATATCGTAGTTTATGTAGATTTACAATGTTAACACTTTGAGATTATATATTAAACTAAAGAACTACTTCAAAGTCACTTGATTGATACCACAATGTTATACTAAAGTTAATAAAAATCTTGAAAATGAATTTATGTAAATGCATAGATTAAATTTTTCTTAGTATGACATTTACATAATGATTGGATGTAAGCAAAGTCAATGACAATAGAAGGTAGGACTCCCTCTTATACACAATTGTTGAAAAGCGTTAGAAACGTCAAGTGAAAATGTTTAATGACATAAAAAAATGGAAAATAATTAGACGACAATCTGTTATTTATGGAACATAAATAACAGATATTTCTTATCTCTGTGTCATCTGTGGCAACAACTTCACTGTATAAAAGGTATTAGATCTCTATGGTTTAAAGTCGACCATATTTGTTGTGGTATTTGCCAAGTTAGAAAAAATACGCTATACGTATTAACGCTTAATTAATAATTTATTATAATAAAAATCCTTTAATAATAATAAAAAATACGAACAATGTTAGACTTGGTTCTATGAAGTTCTACTTAGTTTTTAGTAGATCTAATTTTAATACAAGACACATTTTGTATGAACACTTTAATCTCGGGATTTTTTTTTCGTTCTGATAGGGCACAGAATTGTTGAAAAAATCGATCACCAAAATGTACCGAATTTCAATTTTGAGTTTCAAAATCGATTTTAAATTGAAAAAAAAAAAAATTCCGTAACGGTTTAAGACGCGATATATATTAGACGCGATATAGTTAAACTTATTTGGAAATTATTTTACTAATATATCGCGTTTCAAACCGTTTCATTTAAATGTGTATTACTCGCGTAAACTACAGACAGTATTTGGAGTATACTAATCATGATTGTGATATCATTTTTGTTTAAAATTGTTAAAATATGTTTATTTTCAGGGGATTCCCCCGCCTTCGTAAGCTGCAAGAGCTCCACATGTGCAACATGCCGCAGTTGAAACGCATCGGCGCGGGCGCACTAGCCGGACTCGAGAGCGTAGAGCGACTGCACATGAGCTACAACCCCAAGTTGTCATTTATTGACCCAAAAGCTTTGGCCAGGGCGGACGACATTGGAGAGACGTACGATTGGCCGTTGGTTAAAGAAGTGAGTTTCATCTTAAACTGGTGACAGCAGTATTTTTTTTAAAGATGTTTACTCAGGATTTTGTTCTAACAATACAAAACATATTTTATTTAATATGACAAAGAAGAACAGGCCAGGAGTTACACTTTATGGTTATGCCCTATAAAATCTAAACAAGATTCGCTGGCGGTCTATTTTGGCTTTAGACAGACAAGTAACTTCAACTTACGTGAGAGGTGCATGTATTAATAGGTTGAAATTCGACAATGACGTGTAGGACTTTGTAGCTCAATTGGTCAGAGAACAGAACATAACGCTGTGGTTGCCGGTTCAAGCCCTGCCCGCGTCAATTTTTTTTTCAATTCAAAATTGATTTTTTAATTTAACTTGAATCAAATTCTGTTTCACATTTCACTGCTCGATTTTTACAAGCATGTTTTTGATTATTTCTGTACCCTGTCCAAACTATTAATTTTAATCCAACAGGATTCGAACCACTTAACCAAACCTTGTGCTTACTGTTTTGCTGAGCAACGCGTTGCATTATTGAGCTATAGAGTGCAATAATAAGATTTTTTATTTTTCCAGTTGTATCTGCAGTCAAACAATTTATCAGAGATAGATAGACGTCTTCTATCTCGTTGGGACTTCCTCCAGAAGGTGGATGTGTCCTACAACCCTTATCTCTGTGATTGCACCACCCAGTGGATGGTGGATATGCTGGTGCCTATAGTGGAGAGGAAGACACCCAACTCTACTGAAAATATGGCGTAAGTTTGATATGTTGGCTCGTTGGTGTAATCGTAGCAAAGTATGGTGAATAATCAACGGGTCGTAGGTTCGTTTCTGACCGGCTCCAACAGCTTTTATCTATTTATATTTTTTCTGAAACATGTTAGCATCTGAAAAGTCGGAATATTAAATGTTGTGTAGGAACATGGAAATTTCGTCCGGTTCAAGAACCACTGTCCACTGATGAAAAAGCCGTGAACTTTAATCGCGTTTCGGCTTCAGTCTGTGGATTTCCGAATATCCAAAGTCAAAATAGATCGACAGCACATCTTGTTTGTGTTTTGTGTGTCTTCCTTTCCTGTTCATTCCGTGCTGTCGTTTTAACCAATTAATAATACTTGCGCCTATCGCGCATTATAATTTCAACCTTAACATTTGCGTATTAAGTGTTTTATTTAGGAATATTAAAACGTTTTAGATGCCAAGAGCCCGTCGAGATGCGAGGGTACACCATGAAACATCTTCACGACATCCACCGTACCATGAGGTGCGTTGACAAGTACGGTCACAGGCCCGAAAGAGATGGCGCCATACTTTTGGGGACTCTTATTGGTGAGACATTTTTTTTTTATTTTAATAGGACAGAAACACGGAGTTTACTAGATGCAAGGTGAAATACCACAGCAGATAAAATCTAAACAAGATGCTATGCGACCGGTACGCGATTAAACTTCACTGCTTTTTCATTTGTGGACGGTGGTTCGTGACACGGACGGCATTTCCTACCTACCACACATTTATCATCCAGATTTTCAGACAAAGTCAATTTCATAGAACAATCATGAATGTATTATAAATTTGTTGGACTCAGTGGGGTTCGAACGCATGACCTGATAGTTATTACAACGCTGTCGTTAGACAAACTTGTCCAAAAATGTTTTGGTCGTCGGTGTCTGGACACAGATCCATGTCCCACAAAAGGAGACATATTTTCATTTTAAAAAAGCAATCAATGGTTTAAAACGCGAAAGATATTAGTTTAAACTTATTTGAAAATTATTTTAAACACATACTTCCTCTTGTGACCACGGCTGCTCCAAAGCATCCGAAAGATCGCGCCGTAGTTAAAATAATTTTCAAACTAATTATGACATTTCAAACTGATATATTTCGCGTTTTGAACCATTGATTTAAATTTGTACTACCTCGCGTAAACTACAGACAGTATTTTCTTATTTTAACTACGGCCAATGTGTTCATATAACCTACCACCAAAGTTCGATGATCAAATACAACGACTGGTACAGCAGATACCATCCACGTTGACGTCTGGTGTGTTTCAGGGGTGCTCCTCGCTGTCCCGATCGTGTTCGGCCTGATGATGATGTGGAGACACGGGTACTTCGCGTTCTGCGGTCTACGAGGCCCCGTCGATGTATCCAGGGCATTCTACAAGCGCGCCCCGGCTGATGACAACTATATATAAGCTAATAAATCGTGTAAGGCTTTGACCGCCATCGTACAGCATATTATGGTTTTTCGGCCTGTTCGGTCGAACTCGATTAGAATGAAAGAAATAATTTTTCGAGCAATCGAGAAGCTAACATGTCTTGATGATGCCGCCCGCTCGTGATAGCGAAGCGTCGAGAAGCTATTCTCGCTTACGCCGGCGTAACATCCCGAAAAACAATTATATGCTATATAAAAGTTAAGCATAAATGTAATATTAGATTATAACTCGTGTTTGTAATATAAAATAAGACGTAAATAATCATTTTTCTAATAAATATATTGGATTTAAAAACATCGATGACCCGCGTACTTAGGTTTACCTACATCTTTTCGGCGATGTATTCCTATATATTGCCGAAAAGAAGAAAGCTTAAAAAAACACACACACACTGAGGTTTAGGGTTCGAGTCCCGCTGGCACAAAGAAAAAGGTACACAAGATTTTTTCAATAAGCAAAATTATGAATTTCAAAAGATTTTTTATTATTTCGGTATAGTTGTTACCTACTTTCTTTTAACTTACTTGTGTTTATTGATAAAATAAAACCTTTATGAAAATGTCTTTTATTTTAATATCATGTATGCTGTGTAACTGATATACTGTTTGGGTCCTTGAAGGTTCCAGCCTGTATCTTCAGCATTGTTTCATAGTGTCGATCTGAAAGACGAAAATTTCTCCTTAGTCGAATTTTAAATTACATATTTAAAGTGAGCCATACAACATATACTCTATGTATTGTATTTTCCGAAAATGATATAACAAAAAAAAAAATAAAAGAAAAAAAACAGGAATAATATTTAAAAAAAAAATTATTTACTGTTATATATAAGATTAAAATCTCATGATAAAACTGTTTAGTAATAAATTCAAGTAACTATTTAGGAATAAATTCAATTCAATTCGATAAGGTCCTAGGTTCAAATCTGGTGGAAGCATAAATTGTTTTGAGCCGGGCACAAACTTCTGAATACTGCATAATCTATTAAACTACTTACTATAGCTTACCACACGTTTTACAAAATTCTTAGTGAAAACCCGTTTCATTTTTGTGCGGTAAGTGTCCAATCTGAAATTAGATATAAACCTTTATAGATTATAAATAGAAAATAAATTGAAAAAATTTTCGACTCGGGCACTACTTGAACCGGCATCGTCAGTGTTCCGTGCTGTTGCTCTACCAATTGAGAAAAGTGCACAGTTTTTTAAAGATCGAGGTCCTAGATTCGAATCCAAGACAAAATAATAACAACAACACATATTAGTACATACAACGTGTAAAGTCGTGAGTTCTATGCAGCACGAGGCACATTTTTGCGTCTGTTTTGTTGATCTATGTATGCAATGCTAGCCGACCTGTAGATCTCGGCTATCCTCACTAATTATGGGGTGCTAGCGTTATACTCCAATCCACACTGGGATAGCATGGTGGGTCAAAGGTTGAAATAAAGAAACTACTCACTCGCTAGACGTGGGTCCCGCTAAGCGCATCACCTGCGCGCGCATACATCTATAACTGTGTGATCTCTTGAAGTGTTTGCACCTATCGAATTTAAAAATGTTGCTTATATTAAAAATCTATTTTTCATCGAAAAAAATTTACAACACGGGCAGGTCTTGAACCGGTATCGTATCCGCAGCGTTCCTGGCTGTTGCTCTATCCGATTGAGCTATCGCTACACATCATCTTTCAATGTTTTCAACCTATTGACACATTTACTTGCGCAATGTAATTTCAACCTTATCTTTTCCGAATTAAGGTTCAATGTCTTATGCTTCGGAGCTTAAAAAAAATAATGAAAATGAAATTACAGAGTCAAACGTTTGAAACCTCAACTTTACGCATTACACATAATGTGAAAAATTTTCAAAAGGTGCCCAAACATGTTGCCTATTTCAGTTAAGCACTTTTAAAGGTTTAAAACGTGAAATATAATTATTAGTTAACTTATTTTAACTACGACCCGAGGTCTCGGATACTTTGCAGCCGGCCCTCATTACCATGCGTTAAAAGCCGTTAAGTGTTTTATAAAATGTGTACTACTCGAGTAAACTATAGACAACAACAAGTATGTTTCAGGGAATTATTCGTGACGTAACGCGTAACGGCGATGGTACCGTATCCCGTATTACAAACTTAATCAATAGGTTGACAGCACATTTTTAACAGCGCTTGACTTAGGTAAATAAATTGTCTATCAACATAAATACTTGAACATAATTTATAATTAAAATAATAAAATGAAACAATGTACAATTAGAAGAATTGAAAAAAAAGTCTATAGTTTAAACGAGAGAGACATATAAATTATTAAACTTATTTGAAATTGATTAGTAGCTTCGGCCCGACGTTTCGGATGCTTTGCAGCAGCCATGACCGTAAGTTTAACTAATATATTATCGCGTTTTAAATCGTTAAAGTGTTCTATAACCAGTAGTAACGCAAACGTGATACACAACACCTTCCATCATATGATTCTTTTTATTTAACAATATTCAATTTTAAGTCACTTATGTTTATTTAGACACTCCACAAAAAATCATTTAATCCTAAGTTCTTACTTATGGGATAAAAGATATTAAATGTAGAGAAATAATACCTTTGCTCCTTAGGCGCTGCGTGTTTAACTTGTAACCTGTTCAAAATAATATGTTTTAATAAATATCTGTTAAATATCGTCATGATATTTATTATAATAATTAACCTTATAAATGTAATGCTTTGAATCGGTGATTACCTACAAAGGACGCAGACACAAAGAGTGGTCGTCAACATATTTGAGAATTAACATAATATTATAGAAATTACTCCACGACTCGTTTCAGAAGATATTGTTCGGTTTTCTTTTGATTGACAAATCACTTACCATCCCAATTTGTAGGGCGTTCCCTTACTGTTTATCGTTGAAAATAGTTTCTTTAAACCTCGCCCTGAAAGTAATTAGTTTTGAAAAGTACTTGTTAGGTAAGTATTGTCAGTAGTAGTACACATGTAAATCACGAATCATTTCAGTTAATTTATTTTCCCAGTATCCTCCCCGTGCCGTCCAAAACGTCGTGCCGTAATTATTATAAATTCATAAGTTAACTAAAATATCACGTTTTAAACTGTTAGAAATTTACTATTTAAGTGTGCACTATTTAAAGGATTATAGCTTTCCTTACTTTGATGACGCGCAACCTCCTCATTGAATAGTTGTTTAAACTTTTTCAACAAACCACTGAAACGAAAAAATACTGTCTGTAGTTTACGTGAGCACTACTCACTTAAATAAAACACTTTAACGGTTCAAAACGTGATATATATTAGTTAAACTTATTTTAACATTAATAACATTAAATAAACATTTAATAAAAATGTTTAACTAATATATGTCGCGTTTAAAATGTTTAAAGTGTTTTGTTCACTGAAACATATATTGTCGTTGTCTAGTTAGTAGTAGAATTATAGTATATAGAGTAGAATTGACCACCTCAGTAGCTCAATGGTTTATTGTCTAGCATGAGGTTAAACGGGAGAGGTACAACGTTCGAATCCCGGAAAAACAATTATAGTTTGCGTCAGATAAAGTACAGGGTACAGATCAGATGATTAATTTGTCTAAAAATATTGAATCAGTGCAACAGATACACAAGTGTGTCTGCCCCATATCTCATTTAGGTAAAATGTGATTTCACCTTTTATCTTCGCTGCTCATAGGTACGCTTACTAAAGAGCTTCGGTCCAGAATGTTCTTTTTGACTGCGAATTAAAATATGCATGATTATTTTTTGTTTATTGTTTGTTTTTAGATCTTCGTTAATTTCATCCTTTTATCAAGTAAACTTCATGCTACTCTGTCCTCCAGCGTCATAGAAATATGCGGGAATTCAAAAACGTTTTTAATTTAACAAGAGTTTAAAAATAGATTTTAGATTGAAAATTTTTTACAATATTAATACATTTTTTAATCTTAAATCGGCACAAATGAAAAATACATATTAAGTTTTCACAAAAATACATAAATTAAAGAAAAAAATCGGTAAGTTTGAAGTATTATGTGTTTTTAATTTTATAATTATCAAACTTAATTAATACTTACAATACAAGTAAGGTATCTTCAAAATACTTCCCAGGCGCCTGTCCAACCAGTGACTGAAAATAAGGTCACTTGGTTTTAGGGTTCCGTAAATCTTTTGCTCTTTAAAATATACATTGATATAATTCTTTGTGGACGAGTTATCTTGTACTTCGATTCTACAATTCCGAATGTGCCTTTAACCGCTATTGTATTCACGTATACGAATACGAATATTCGAAGCCGAAGATATTGTTTGTCGGTTTATTTGACAGTGATTATCTCAGGAACTACTGCTTCGAATTGATAGTATTGTATAGACCATTTATCGTGGAAGGCTTTAGGCTAAACAGAGCGAGGATTAGAAGCGAATATAGAAGGAAAATGTAAAAAAACATTAGGAAAATTAGCGAAAACAAACAAAGAATGATTTCTCTTTAAATTATTTAAAAAATGTTCTCCACAGTACATGTCTCTCCTTTAAAATTAAGTTGCAAGAACGACGGAACGCGGACGTCGTCGGGTGTAGGTTATAGCTATAATTTATAAGCCAAAGGTTTGTATAAATATAACGCCCAAAATAATAATTCCGAGGGGACGAAGTCGCGGACGCAGCTAGTTGTTGATATAATAATAATTTGTGTTTCATTCCATTCAAACCTTACTTACACATTCTGAAAATTCTTAGAACTGTAATCGGATTCTGTCATCATACGTAGATCTAAAAAGACACAATTATATTAAACTTCCTATCTATCAAGTTGTAAGATACACTTTAACTGTTTAAAACGCAAAATTAACTCGACCTTTGACCAAGGCTGCAATTCTGGTCATACTTAAATTTAAACGAATATTATGCGTTTTAAACCGTTAAAAGTTTTAATTCTTTAATTAAGTCACCTGAATCTTCGAGATTTGACAGACTTTTAGAGTCGTCTTGATTTACGCGTGTCCTGAAAAAACGCGAGTCAATAAACAGAGAATATGTGTATTAAGGATATATAATTTATTCAACGTATCGAGGGGTTTAATCCCCCGACTCCAGCATGTTTTTAAACAATTTATACATTTAAAACATGTTGGATTTTGTCTGGAAATCTGAATTTTTTAATTAAACGGGTGGTAGGAATATTGACCTTCCGTACAAGTAACGTCCACACGTTTAATCGCGTTATGATTTCAGTCTGTGGATTTTCGAATATCCAAAACCAAAATAGCCCATCTTGTAAGTATAGTAGAAAGAAAGAGTTGGCATTCTATAGTTAAGCTACCTCTTAGTCTTTGATGGTAGAAAATAGACTTCCAGACGTGAGCATTCAGACCATCAGTTAATAGGAAGAAAATAGTCTTACTCTGACGCAATAAAGATGGGAGCGGAAGACCGTTGTCTTAGAGCAATGTGAGCTATTTCTGTAGACGCGCCGAGCTCTACAACGTGAAGAAATAAAGTCTCTATAATTAAAAAGTTACGAAGTGGGTTCGACTCCTAACGTGTGCAATATGTTTCTGATGCCATTTTTTTCTGAAATATGTCAGTGATAGTTTAGTATGACGAAATGCATAGCTCTGGCATAAAAATATACTAAAAGTAACCTGATTCTACTGCCGTTTAGAGTTTAATTTGGGTGATAAAACTAAAGATTTGGACTTTTTTTTTCGATTGCTATTATTAGTAATAGAAGAACAGCTTGTATACTACTTACCAGCTATACGAAGAACTTGCAAGTCTGCGCTTGATTTTTTCTTCTGAAAAAAATTGAAATATGCATGAAAACAGTGTTCAGAAATATTACTTTGTATGTGTGTTTGTTTGTTATGTTAAAAATTCTGACGCGATTTCGTACCTTTTTGTGTTTTTTATTTGGCTTCGCGGGTGCGGCATGCTCCCTAGAACAAAATAAAAAAATATAAATGCTTTTCAATGCAGTGTATAAGCAGGAACAAGAACTAGAAAAAAATTTAAACTTAAGGTGGGTGTTAATAATATAACACTTTTGTGTTTATTTAAATGTGTACGTGTAAACATCATGTAATAATTAGAAACAAATTTAAATTCGCAACTGTTATCTTTACCCTAATTATTATCTTAATTCTTTACAGATGTACTACAAACGAATATATTTCTATTATACCACGCTAGGTATACAAGTAACTGCATCGTCGGGTTCTGGGTTTGAGTCTGGGCTTTAGACTTGAGAGCTAAATTTTAATTCGGTATTTCTCATTATTAACTCACTCTCTATCCAAAATTGGGTAGTTCATTTGTTTTAATAATTCCTGTGTGACATCCGTCGTAGTGCCCATCTCTGAAAAAAAATTGTCTGTACTAATAATATAACGCTGAAGAGTTTGTTTGTTTGAACGCGCTCATCTCAGGAACTACTGGTTCAAATTTAAAAATTAACTTTGCTTAACTACCAATTAAGCTACCATGGCAATTCTGAAATCATGGAATCTTTTAAACAATTCTTATAATTGCATTTCTTGTACAATGTGTGTTATGAATTAAGTTAAAATACTTACCCACACTATTCCGTTTAACATTATACGCCTGAAAAAAATTATTCAAATTATTTAGCATAGGTACAATATAATTATGTGCTAGGTCCACTTTACTTACATCATTCTTAATGCTTGGCGTTGGTAAAGGTTTTGCGGATTTACTGAAAAAAATGTAAAAGATAAATAAATTATAATAAAACTCTTTATTGCACAAACATAGTTATTTAAACAAAACAAAAAAATAACTAAAATTGTTAATTACGAATGTTTTAAATCTATACTAATATATAAAGCTGAAGAGTTTGTTTGTTCAGGAACTACGGGTTCAAATTGAAATATTCGAACCCTGTTCCTGAAGAAAATATATTCTATGAAAGAATGATTTCAATTTGATCGATCTAAAAAAATGTTCGCGACTATATATCTATCTTTTAAGATTAACTTGCAAGGACGACGGGACCCACTGATTTCGGGGGCAGCTAAATTTATAAAGATGTTTGCAAATTTTGCAAAAACAAATTTGGATGCCCAAATTTACTATTCTACGCGGACGAAGTCGCTGACACAGCTAAGTGTGTGTGTCTAAGAAAAAAAGGTGTATGTTTAAGATCCCGCTTCGCTGTAGTGTGGACTACTTTAACGTGGTACTATTTTTTTATACAGGCGTGTAACTACGTCGTGGATTAACTAGGGTCGTGGGGAACAGTTAGTAGTAATAATAAAGGTGATGGGTTTGTTTGTTTGTTTCTTTAAACGCGCTAATGTCAGGAACTACTGGTTCGAATGGAAATTGTTTTTGTGTTGGTTAACGCGTTTATCGAGGCTATAAAACATTGCGATGCGACGAAACAACGGGAAATGTGAAAGAAAAAACCGGGGGATATTATTCATCTTTCCTTTCATTCCGTTGCGTGCACTAGGAAATCGGTTCAAGATACCCAAAATATATGTAATAAAGAATGATCCCAAAACGGTCTAATAAAAAGTCCGCGACAGTATATATCTATCTTTTAAGATTAACTTGCAGGAACGACGGGACGGGGATGACGTTATGGGTCACAGGTATAATTAAGACAGATTGCTGATACAACTTGTTATAAAGCTGACGTGGTTGTGTCGAAAATGTTGGTTGACGAAGGTTGATTGTCGGGCGAAGTCGCGGACACAGCTATGTATTAATAACCTTACGTGTAAGTATCATAGTCCGAATCGCTTCTACTCTCGTTGATGTTTCTTCTGGCTATTTCTATGACGTTCACCTGTTTCTGGGGAACCTTGAGAGGTCTCGCCTTTCTTCGAGACTTATTTTTGGATCTTCTTGCGGAATAACAACCTGAAACATCTCCTTACACTTAATGGATATCTCGAATTGTCTAAATGGGCGAGAGAGAGAGAGATAGTGAAAACTTCTTGAAGGGCGTACACTATTTTGTGTCCGGTTCGCCGATTGATTTCACTTACTGGCAATTCATTCAATTTCAGTTATCAGTGCTCTGCCCGACCGAATCAATCGAAAATCAAATATATTTTTAATTTCCTTGACCACAGAAAAAAAAATATTAAAATCGATTTTGAATAGAAAAATGGTGGGCAGGATCTCGAACCTACGTTCATAGCGTTACGTGCTGTCGATCAAGCAATTTCATTGAGCTAGTGTATCGTTTAGTTTTTCTCATTTGTTTTATATCGTTACACCTTTTGCAATGTAAATAAATAATATTTTTTTATTAAGTTGCTTATTTTTTGTAATGTAATGTAGTAAGTTGCGAGCCTTTGTCATGTTTTTGATTGAACTAAACTCTCAAATGTTTCCGTTACCTTGAAAAATCCGTTTGGAGCAGCTCGAGCAAAATATAACGCCTTTGAATACTTCAGCGTCGTGAAGATTCGTTTCGCTACAAACGTCTAAAAGGAGAAAAAAAATAACAAGGCAAAGAAATAATTATTCTGTCGTTTACGCGAGGGGTGCACATTTAAATAAAACACTTCAAACGGTTTAAAACGCGAAATGTATTATTTATTTACACTATATGAAGTATTGTCTCTTTATGTTATTACACATTAAATAACAACTTTATTAGCTAATACTTAAAGTACGCGAAGACTGTAAAATGAAACTTGGCGAAAGGGAACTAACAGCATTTCCTGCACTTCTGATGATAGCTGCAGCCTTGGCAGATCGCCGCTTGGCCTGGGACGATAGGAGCATTACAGTGGTCGCACACCTCGCAACTGTAAAACACCAATCAAGAAGCTGAGGACAGAACTGGTCACGTGGTGTAAGTTTCCGAATTGCGACTTCATTGTTCGGTAGTACAACGTTGACAGGTTGAATTGGACATGTTTCCAGTAATTTATATTTTACTGCAACATGTTGGACTTCGTGTGGAAATCTGGATATGAAATGGATGGTAGGAATATCGATACACCGTCCACAGATGAAAAAGGCTCGAAGTTTAATCTTAGTTTCTGTCTGCGGACAGCGTATCAAATTTAGATGCTATATGTGTGAGATGTTTCACCTTCCATCAGCGAACCAAACGCTCGGTTGTCCGCCCTAAGAAAAAATAATTGATTGAAGAATGATTTCTTTTTAATACGCTAATTTTTACTTTTCCCAATATACAATATATCGAGTATAAGATCCACGATATGTTACAAGTTTCTTCAAATATATGCAAGATACGTTTTAGAAGCACTCTTCAAAATATAATAATTAACTCAACTTACGCCATTTTGTATAATTTTTACATATTTTTCAATCGATTGTTTTTTTAGAAATTCACATTTTTGCACTTTTCAATTTTACATTTTGACAATGAAAGTTGACATGACATAATGCACAAATAGTAGAATTTTAGATAAAGGATTTAAGAAGATATAAAAAAATCCGAAAAAAAAATTATTTATTGAAGTAACATCAGGTTTTTAGTGATCAACAGAAAAATATACAGTTTAAATTTTTTTCATATACGAAATATTTTTTTAAACAACTAAGCCTCAGATTTACATTTTAAAGTTTTTTAACACGAGTTTCAAGAGACATAACAACGATTATTATATACCTACAGTTCCATATCCAACACGAATCAACAGGTAAACAAGTTGAGCTGTTGTTGAGTCAAATATTTCTCAAGTTTTTGAGAAAAAACCCCATTGACCAAATAAGTACGGTGTATTTTATATATCGACGGCTTACTTTATATAACCTTCCAAGATATAGCTAACAATTGAAAAAATAACCTCTAATACTTATCTGAAGCATGTCTACAAAAACTCGTGCTAAAAACACCAGTATCCTTTTAATAAAAAACTAAAAAGTAATGCAGCACCTGTAAAATTGAGCATTCTTTATGAGTTAACAAATACATATTATATAATATATAAGATAAAAAAATGTAATATTTCTTGTTGAAAACTTATTTGACACGGGCAGGACTAGGTATCTATTTAAGACATCGTATCCCGTGCGTGATCATTAAATTTTCTCAATCGAATTTATCACAAGACACCCTTAAAACAGAACTAGGAAAATAGGAAATACTTAAACTAAACTAACAAAAGGTACAAAAATTATTACTGTACTGGCCGACAAAATGCTAGAATATCAACTAATACTATGTCTAAGATTAATAACTTAAATTAAAGAACTGGCCTTTAACTCTACCATTGATATTAACTATGCGTTAAGTTTCTTGTAACATAAAAATACATATATATACATATAGCCCAGAAGTTGTACGATTCGAATCGCTGAGAGTTATAAACGTTTCGGTCCGACAGGGCAAAAAAAAAATTATAATAATAGAATTTTTTGTTTTAAAATGTAATGAGTTTTCTGTTCCAATTTCCCTGACATCGAACCTAGGACACAAGGGGTTAACATCAAGCAACAATACAATACGGTTGGTGAGGTGTAAACCTTGCTTTGAATAACTTTTCAAGCAATACATTTTCTGTAGTTTACCTGAGTGGAACACATTATAATAAAACATTTTTAACGGTTCAAAAGTACAACTAATGCCCGACGTTTCGAAGCCTTGCAGAGACCGCGGTCACAGGGGATTTAAAATAGAGATTTTCTTAAGTCAAAGCAAACATGCTACGCTAGCGCCACCTGTTTCGTCGAACCGTAGTTAAAATAAGTCATCTTTATTTTTAATGTAAAAACGTTAAAATGTTTTATTTAAACATGAAATATATGTTTTTAATAAGTATTATATTAACACTTGATGGTGTTTCTGTCTGTTCTCATTAGCGTGACCACCACAACTGAGTGGTTCCATAGTTCCATCGCAGACGAGCTTCTTGTCAACAGCCTGTATAACCATCAAATGCTATAAAACAGAATGTTTTCTAAAAACTCAACTTAAAATTAACTTAACCAATGTATTACTTAACGCTACATAGACTAAGACGTGGTAAATAATACTTTACACTTTTTAGAGATCGACTTTTAGAGAGAAGGCAATTCCGAATTTGAGATCAAAATTAAAATCAGGATAGCTCTGTGCAAAATTCATCCAAGTTTAAACAATTCGACTTATTAACATCTTATTTATTACTGCTCAAATTGCAGTAAAACAAAGCTTATTTGAATGAATATAGACATAAATACTGTGTGTAGTTTATGCCGAGTAATATACAATTCAATAAAACACTTAACGGTTTAAAATGCGAAATACATTACGTAAACTTATTTATTAATTTAGTCGAATTTAATTTTTTATCGGTTCAACTAATATATTTCGCGTTGTAAACCGTTAACGTGTTTAATTTAAATATAGGCAGTTCTTATATTAATAAAAAATACTGGCCCCAAATTTACCCATTTCTTACTTACTAACTTAATTTAGTTTTTTTATAATATAACCATTTATTGAGTTATCCTTTATATTATATATAAATAACATCTATAATATAGAAACGGTGTATCGTTGTTCCACTAAAACGGTTGAACAGATTTTCATGAAATTTTGGGTTTAAATTCTGAAAAAACATTTTTTGTTTATTACTTAGCAATTACTATTTTTTCTAACAAATATGTATATGGCCTGGTTGGCTTGTTATTAAAAACGCTTATATATCTAGATATAAATATATACACCAATTATATTCTACGTATCTTACCGTCACAACGAAAACGTATGATAAACTTTTAAATCACAACGCGCAATAAATTTTAAAGTACAAATGTAAATAATCTATATACCTTACGCCTACGTATTGCCACGGCTGCCCTGTAGTCTGTATATAACTTGTGGAACTTTCATTTTGAGCATCGAAGTTATTGCGGGAAATGCTAATATTGCTGATGACGGACTGTAGAACCGTGTAACATGTCTACAATGTCGACCTTCTCTGGGGTTGGCTCTTCGGATATCCACAGACTAATACGAGATTATGCGTGACGGCTTTTTTCATCTGTGAACTTTGTGGTGTTTGGAACCGGAGGGAATATCCTATATTCTTAACGCTCTTTAATTTCTGGATTTTTAGACAACGTCGAAGGTTTCAGATAAATTATAATTATAGGGGAGGTTAAAACCACGGCCGTTGATTAAAAGCCATACATTGCTAATAGTAATTAGAGCCATTAGACGCCAACACCACAGTTCCGTCAACGCAATATCACAACATTTCCCAAATCTAAATTATCACAACTAAACTTATATTAGATGATACTGGCCTTAAAATACTAATGTTGATAAACAACTAAAAACTACTTACAATGTATAAAAGTATATAATATCTATATAACGTAATATTGCTTATAACAGTATACAGAGATCTAGCATTTATATATGTCATCTTTATTAGCTCGACGTTTTGTCTCTATCACTCATTTTAAAACGCGATGTATATTAGTTAAACTTATTTGGAAATTTTAACAACGGCCCGACGTTTCGGATGCTGTGCAGCACCCATTGTTCACGGGGAGACTCTTCGAGAGTTTCCCACGACCACGGCTAAGTTTAACTAATATACATCGCATTTTAAACCGTTAAAGTGGCAAAATGTCGAATTATCTCGATCGTTTGGCGCGGTTTCTGATGAGGTCATAGAATATCAGTATTGGGCCATTAGTCCCAATGTAGCTGAGTGGGCTACTTTTCAAAAGCCACTGTAATATTAATTATAAATTTGTTTTTTCTTATATTATGTTTGTCCAATGTCTTATTTTTTCTTGAATAACAGTGACAAAACTCGTGCGAATTATTGTTTTGTTGTCGTTCGTTCGTTTGACTGAGCATAGTCAGTGTCTCCGCATATGCAGCCCCAGGTGGTCGGAGCGTGCAAAAGCGCGCTTACAAAGGGGGCATGCGAAAGGTCGATGTCCTGTGTGTTTGCGTGTATGTCTCGTGAGCTCGTCTGATCGGGCGAAGCGCCACCCGCAGCCCGCCCAACCGCAGCTGTAGGGCTTTTCACCTGACATAAACAAATCAATAAATCAACCGAATAGAACACGTTTCTAATTAGTTTATAATTTTTCTGATGATATAGGATATTAAATGGGTGGTAAAATATCGTATTCCGCCGGCTCTCGAACCGTTCACAGACGAAAATATCGTGAAGTTCAATCGCATTTCGGATTCAGTCTGTGGATTTCCGAATAATCGAAGGCAAAATAGGCCGACAGCGCATCTTGTTTAGCTGTTATATGGCCGAGGTACTTCACCTACCGTCAAGTTAATCCATGCCCTCCTATATGTTAAATAAACTTTCAAAACAGCTCTTGTTAACGTTCTTTTTTAACTCTACAATAACAGTTTACTCGATCTTAAGAATCGAATACGATGTATCCGGGCATTTTATAAACATAATTTTAGGGCTTGTTTGGGGATTAAATGAATGAGGTATATCTATATTTCAAAACGCTCCGAAATCTCTATTTCAATTTAACTACGACCCAACGTTTCTACTGTACTACTCGCGTAAACTAAATACAACACTTAATTAAGTGAGTTACCTGTATGCGTTCTTTTATGTGCCTTCAGATGCGAACTCTTCGTATAGACCTTCTGACACCCAGCCACGTCGCATTTGTGTAGTCGCCTTTTGTCCTTCGCGTCTTCACCTTCCAGAACAGTCTTCGTGAATGTCTGCATCGAACGCGCCAAGGAGTCTGTGAGCGCTGTCTGAAGCGCCGTGTTGAGGAAGTTCTTGAATTCGGAAGGTCCCAGGTTCGGTTTGTGCGTGGGCAATGGAAAAGGCAGTGGAGGGAGGAACGCCGTTTTGTTCGTTGACAGTTCTAATGATGTGTGTGGTGATTCCCCGTAGGGTTTATGTCTGGAAGAAAATAAATAATTGATTATTTTACGGTATGAGTTAAACAACAATCAATGTTTACAGAAGTTAGGAAAATTTACTGGCTGACCATTACCATAAAAACCGGTTTTTCTTTAGTTAATCTTTAAGGATAGGCATATCGTCGCGAACATTATTTAAGATTATTCAAAGAAAGTTCCCTCTCAAAACACTTTTTTTTTGGGTATCTTGTTGAGTTTTTGCAGCCCGTGCAACGGAAACCCACAAATCGAAATGGAAAATAGTTTTCCTTGTTTTTTCTACGTTTTTCTCTGTTTTTCACTACTGTTGCTAATGTTTTATAGCCTATAACCTTTCTAGATAATTAGTCCAACCAATGATAGAAGTATTTTTCAATTCGAAACATTAGTTCCTGAGATCAGCGCGTTCATTAAACAAACAAGCAAACTCTTTCAATATTAGTATAGATTTTAAGCTTAGAATCATTACTTTAAGGCTTAATTACAACTAAAAAAAATTAGGAAAATATTACGTACTGCAACATGTTATTATTAAAACAATGTGGGAAAAACGAAAATGAATTATTAACTTCTAAAAAGTGTAATCCCACGCTGTTTTTACGAACCAAACGATTATACATTTTTGAACGGACCCTACTTAAGGTTTTCTATTTGAAAGAGCATGGTGGGTCACCTGTTAATCGATGCTTTCAATATCCTCGTCTTTCGAAGATCCGGAACATCTTTGTATTTTGCATTGCGACTTGACCTGAAAAACAAGACCGTTTTTAATTAAAAATCAGGATTTAAATATGTATATTATCAATATACACAAGAACCTTTTAGAGTATATCTGGTTTTTTTAATAAAACACTTTAACGGTTTAAAACGCGATATATTAGTTAAACTGTGGTCGCGGCTGCTGCAAAGCATCCGAAACGTCGGGCCGAAGCTAAAAATCATTTCCAAATAAGTTTAACTAATATATCGCGTTTTAAACCGTTAAAGTGTTTTATTTTAATGTGTACTACTCGCGTAAACTATAGACAGTATTTTATATCAGTTTTTTTTTTTCAAAAAAAAAAATTTTACGTAAAGATATCGAAAAATTACTCACTCGATAACATTTGTAGTCTGTTCTCTTTTGTTGGTATGTGAAGAGGCTGGGTAGGTATTACCTAAAAAGGAAAAAAGTTATTCAAAAAATATATACATTTGAAAACTTTATCAAATTCTTGATAAAACTATGTAATTTCAGCTTCGAGAAATTTCCTACACTGTGCTAGTAGTGAAACATTTCTTTGAAAATCTCCGTTATTATTCCATTTACATTTATAACTTAAAAATCTATTTAGATTATAAAAAAAATACGACACTGGCACTCGAACCGGTAACCACAGTCTTCCGTGCTACCTGAATCATTGAAGATACAATTACAGAGTTTAACGTTTGACATTTTATAAATTATTATATAAATTGAAAAAAACAGTGTTCTTACTACCACTAGATCATCGAGGCAAATATATATGCCTTTCATTTAACATCGTAGCATGCTTTTGCTGTCTACAAATAACATACAAAACAAAAACAGTAAACATACAACACAATAGATGCATAAATCGAAAGTTTATCGTAACATCGACGTTACACAACATTATTGTATTTATATAAACACTTATCCAAAAACCAGTACAAAAGTAGTGAATGGACCCTAATGAGCTCGACAACCCGCTTCGAAGCAGTATAGGGGGCCCTTCATGAGAGTGGACTATTTTTAAGACTGCTAAAATTTAAATAAAACAATGTTTAACGGTTTAAAACGCGAAATGTACTAGATAATTTTCAGCAGCTGTTGTCACGGGGGGAACTAAAGTTGAAGGGTCTCCCCAATGTTAAAGATTAAATAAATTGCAAGTAAATTACCTACCTGCATTGCGCGTTTTAAACCGTTGCAAGTGTTTTATTTAAATGAGTACTAATCGCGAAACTATTACTTAGGCGAGAACATATTTTTCTGAAATTGATTTGGCAACAAACAAGCACAGCATAGTGCAAATTGATCGTATAAGAATCATGGAAGTAGAAAGTTATTTTTATGACAAAGAAGGACAGACAAGCTATATATCATCTATATAAGAAGCGCTGTCGACGTATTTTCGGTAATAAAATTTGATTGTTAGGACCTAGGTAGTTAAAATATTATTTATCAACATCAACAGACACAAATATAATTGTGTTCGTATAACATATATAAAAGTCAGCCACAGATATATATCACTAGCGGGGAGAAAGCACTTTCTAAAGTGAATACATTAATATATTTTATATTATCTCTAAAACAACAAATTGCCTTTACTTTACAGCTTAGATAATAATCTAGATTCAGACTGGCCTACACTCTATATAGTTAACTGCCTTTTAACACTATCGAGATAGGTTGGCCCAAGATGAACGCGGTAGCGGTTTAGTTACATTAAAGGTGGCCACATTACTAAGGTGAAAAGTATTTAACCGAATTTACATGTTATTGCACAAAAAAGCACAAATTTAATTTAAAAAAAAAAAAAAAAAAAAAAAAAAAAACCCCCCCGCAAAAAAAACAATTTATTCTCAGTTGAAAAGTATTTAACTATTTGTTTGCACATAACTTCGTGGTCTTTAAAGAGATTTGTTTTTTGTTGGAAAGCGTATTTACCAAATTAGTCCCATTTTATGACGATTGGTTTAAGGAGAATAGTATAATTCCCTTCACACTCTGATCAAATTTTTGTTAAATATTTAATTTCAGTATGTGTATTAACGATAAGGCCACTTGTAGTACATTCTGGTATTTGGGTATATTATATTAAAGCGGTAATGAGCAAATATTAGGGTTCCGATCTATCATAGCGACTAAAGGGGTTAATTTATAGCCAATATTGTAACAATTGCTTGGAGACAATAAGAGTGAGTCACTTCGTATGTTGCGTTAATATTAAGTATTCTATATTTTTAAAATCCCAATATAATTTGTACTAGGAATTATCTTCCTTATTCATGTAGTTTGAAACACAGTATTATATTTCCTTTTGTTAAATAAATAACAAAAATAACTAAGAAAAATATAGTAAAAAAAAACGCTAAGCACATAAACTTGGACCACCCACGCAATATCAGTTAGTACAATCAAATTATCTACGAATAGCAGTTATCGGAGCGGATTAAATTTCGTGAGAGGATTCTTGTGATATTCTGTGAAGCATGTTTACTTACGACATTAAGTATGGTATCTCCTTATACGTTTATGTTGTAAATTAAATTTTCCGCCGAATATGTTGTACCTAAGTCTGTGTTTCCTTTACATTGGAATTCTTAAAGCATCCAGACGAATCAATATGGCCGTTTTGTATATAAAACCTACATTTATCATCTATATTTTACATGGACTCTATGTCATCACATATTGTAACATGAATCAACAACACATACAATTTTAGTATTGTGTGTAAATTATGCGAGTAGTAAATTAAAATGCGAAACATTAGTTCACTTTTTCATATTTTAACCGTTATTTTTCGAAGTTTCGGATGTTTTTCACGTGATTTCACTTCATGTGGTCACGGGGGCGACTAAAGATGTAGGGGTGTCACTAATGTCAAAGTCAAAACTGCTACGCTAGCGTCATATTTCATCGTAGTGGGTATTTTGAAAAACTAGCTATGTTGACTAACGGTGTTCTTGCCGGTATGCTATTTTTTGTGATCTAGTGTTTTCAAATTTAATCCCAAGTGATATCTTGCGACCGATTTTCTATAGGGAGGACGGCGGTAGGCCCGTAGTTTACTTTGCGTTTTAAACCGTTAAAAGTGTTTTATTTTAATTATACAGATTTATCAAAAACTAAACTCTAGTTTTTCATATCAATTGCTTACCTATTCTCCATTTAATTTAACTGAACTATATAATATTTAAAAGTCATGTGCGCTATCCAAACTAAACTTTAAAGTTTTAGTAAGAAACTAGTCCAGATATCATAAAAGCCCAACAATAGATAAATAGTACATTGCAAATGCTTGTTGCTGTCAGTGTTAGTTATTTATAACTTAATCCGGCTTTGCCTTCACGGGTAGGTTACATTGAGGGCGATAGCGGAAAATGCGAGTGTTAAAATATTAATTAGTCTAAAATCTAACTATTGATTATAGTTTAATTTTTGTTGAATCATTGTACATCATTATTATTTTTAATAATAGAGGAGAACATACAAACAAGCACGCGGTTCCCTTGATGATAGGTGAAATACCCCAACCACACAACATCTAAACAAGATGTGATGTTGACCTATTTTGACTATGGATATTCGTTTATTGCGTAGTTTTGCACTTTAAAAACAAGGCAATCCTATAATAGATAAGCTTAATAAATAAGATGGCAAAAATGCAAGCACAAATCTTTAAAATTACAACGGGCTGGAAGTACTATTTCTTTAATAAACTTCAAATTCTACTAATCATAAAAAATCATGAATATCAATAAGTACTTTTATAGTTTTTTGTAGAAAATAATTTTAAATTGTTTTATTGATTTGTTGTTGTACAACTAACAGATGATAAGAAAAAGTGTAAACCTTGCATAATAAACAGAATCGTGAGATGTACAGGTCAATACTTATTATATGAATATTAAATACGGAAATATTACTAGACAATCTATAATTATAAATGACAATGTAATTTTCCATAAACTTAAAGAATTGAGAATTAAATAATTAATAAAAGTAAGTGAAAACCCGTTTCGCTCTGTGCGAAATGGCGCGAACATAAATCTGCGTCCGTTTCGCTCGTTTGTATTTACTGGCATGTAGTTGGTGAGATTTCTGATCCCTTGACGACCGAAATACAACATTGCTTCCCCGGGATTACAACCCAGGAATTCTCGCGCTTAAAACACGTCCATTTAGGTATGAAGACGGTAACATCTATACTAATATATAAAGCTGAAGAGCTTGTTTGTTTGTTTGTTTGAAGGCAAAAATCTCAGTTGAATAATTATTTTTGTGTTGGTTAGAGCGTTTATCGAGAAAGGCTATAGGCTAAAAAACATCGCGATTTAATTAATAGAAGCGAAGATACAGCGGGAAATGTAAACAAAACGGGAGAAATCTCACAGGATTCAGGTGTTCAGATGAAATGTAAACAAAAATATTCGCGATAAGATTAACTTGTAATAACGACGGGACCCGAACAACGGGTCGCGAGCGACGGTTCGCGACCGATGTCGCGAGCAGCTTAAATTTATAAAGATGTAGAGGTTTGCAAAAACAAATTTGGATGGCCAAAATAACTATTCTACGCGGACGAAGCGCTGACACAGCTAGTAATATATATATTAATAATTATTTCTGTATGTTACAAATCGCTTTCGCTAATAATGAGACCGCAGCCTTATTGAACAGAGAAATAGCACCTGGAGCAAATAATTAGGCCTTTTCATAATGACCAGCAAATTTCATTTTACTACATATAACGCAATACTGTCTGCAGTTTACGCGAGTAGTACACATTTAAATAAAACACTTATACAGTTTCAAACGCGAAGTGTATTGGTTAAGTTTTCTTAAGAAACACAAAAATTTCAATAGGGAGGACGGCCTCAAGTTATCAAACACCTGGGATTCCATATTAAAAAAACAGCATACAACAAAGGCGAAGACACCGTTAGTCAAAACTGCAGGGCCAGTATCGCCAAATACTATTTCTTTAGTTTTGGATAATTGGAAACTTACAGTCTGAAAGAGGAAAGTTTAAATACGATCTGTAGTTTATGCGAGAGTACACATTTAAAGTGTTTTTATCAATTTAACGGTTTAAAACGCGATATATTTTAGTTAAACTTTTTAAGAATTATTTTTAACAAGAGCCTCTCCGTGACCACGGCTGCTGTGAAGCATCCGAAACGTCGGGCAGTAGTTAAAAATAATTCTCAATAATAAATAATTTCGGATGCTTCAACGGCCATAATAACGGGGCACGTTTTAAACCGTTAAGAATGTATTTAATATGCAAGTATTATTCGCGTCACAAGCAGTACGAAGGCCAATTCCAGCTTCGTTTCGCCCAATAATCGCTGTCTTCCCTAATTAGAAGGAAACGATTGTCTAATACGAAATAAACAAGCATTTTCGACATTCTATGTTACG